TTTTTTTTTCTCCCTAAAGTACACACCATTTATAGATGACCTCTTCTCAACTCTGTTATGCTGTGCTAATGTGGAAACATACCGGGCCAACCAGTGAAGACACTCCGTTAAGGAGCAAACTGAGCCAGCCGCGGAAACATTGCTGAACAGAAACAGACGGAATTTGAAGTATTCCTTCTATTTTCAGTGTTTCTAGTCCCCGGCTATTTCCCCTCCCGGGTTTTCCTACTTTAAAGGAAGCCTTTCCATTTCGTTGCACACAATGTAGCACCAACTGTATCCAAAAAAGAAAAGCTGGACCATTCCTAGGAAGACAGATATTCATCTGCCTTGTTGTTTGCATCAATTTTTCCCCCTTTTAAAATATTCAGTGTGATTCCCTTGTATGAGTATACCCCAATTTGTGGATAAATTACCTGTTGATGATCTTTTGAGTTGTTTTCGGTATTTGTCTATCACAAAATAAGGTGCTATAAACATTTGTGTACCAGCCTTGGTATGCACATAGCATTTCTCTTCACTTGAGTAAGTGCGTAGGAGTTTAATGTCAGAACCATTCAGTAGTGTATGTTCAGCTAGCTGAGAAATTGCCAAACGTTTCGCCCCAAACTTGTACCATTTGGTATTCCCACCAGCAGTGTATGAATGTTCCAATTCCACCTCACCCTTGCTGACGCTTGGCATGGTCAGTCTTGTCACTTTACCCATTCTGATAGGCGCATGGTGGTATATTACTCTGGTTTAATTTGCATTTCCTAAATGAAAAATAATCTTGAGATCTTTTTATTTACTTATTGCGCTTATTTACTCTCTACATATTTTCTTTGATAAAGCGCTGTACCGATCTTCTGAGAAGTTTTGAGTTCTTTGTTTTTATACTGTCACATTTCGAGAGCCCTTTGTACATGCTGGGTAAAAGTCCTTTATCAGATGTCGTTTTGGTGATTTTTTTTTTTTTTTGAGTTTATGACTTCTCAGTCTCTGGAAAAGCAGAAAATTTTAATTTTGGATGAAGTCCATTTTCACGTTTCTACTGCTGTCTCTAAGAACTTGTTGCCAAACTCAAGGTCACAAAACTTTCTGTTGTTTTCTTCTAGACATTTTATTGTTTCAGGCTTTACACAGAAACCTGTAATTTATTTTGAGTTACTTTGTGAACCAGGTACTAAAGCACTTTGTCTTTCTGTCTTATTTTTCTTTTTTCATAAGGATGTTCGCTTGTTTTAGCAACATTTGTTGAAAAGACTGTTCTTTTTTCACTACATTGCCTTTGCACTTTTGTCCACAGTTACCCATATGTGCATGGGTCTATTTCTGGCTCTCTGTTATGTTCCCTTGGTCTGCTTGTATATTTTTACAACACCACCATGAATATTGCAGTTTCTTGAAATCTTGTAGTGGTTGTTCAATGTCGTTCTTTTCCAACGTTGTTTTGGCTAATCTATGTCTTTGTATTTTCATGTTAACTTTTGAATCGGCTTGTCAATTTCTAAAAAACCAAGCAAACCCTATTGAAATTTTGAATGTGATTGCATTGAATCTATTAGCTACATTTAGGGGCAATTGAAATTTTAAAAATACTTATGTGTTTGAATCATAAACAAGGTATATCTCTCCATTTCTTTATGTGTTCCTTAATTTCTCGAAGCAATGTTTTGTAACTTCCTCTGTATAGATGTCCCACATATTTTCTTAGACTGTCATCATATACTTCATATTTTTGATGCTACTAGAAATGGTATTGGTGTCATTTGTAATTTTAATTTCCAAATGTCTTTCGCTAGTATATAGAATTATAATAAACTTTTTTATATTAACCTTATATCCTGACCTGAAACATTTATTTTTTCTAGTAGTTTTGTTTGTGGATTCCATCGGAGTTTTACATAGATAATCATGTCGTCTGCAAATGAAAACACTTTTATTTCTACCTTTCTAGATGGTTTTTATTTCTTTCCCTTGCTAGATTTCGTAGACTAGACCTCTAGTACAGCACTGAATGAAAGTGGTGAGAATGAGCGTCCTTATTTTGTTCCTGATTTGGAAGAAATCATACAGTGTTAGTACCATTACGTATGGTGTTAACTGTATATTTTGCACAGATGTTCTTTATTCGTTTGAACACGTTCCCTTTTATTTATTTATTTATTTATTTACCTTTATTTTTGATAGAGGGAGACAGAGCACAAGTGGAGGAGGGGCAGAGAGAGAAGGAGACACAGCATCCGAAGCAGGCTCCAGGCTCCGAGAGGTCAGCACAGAGCCCGACGCGGGGCTCGAACTGGTTTCTTTTTATTTGTAGAATGCTGAGAGATTTTATCAGGAATGGGTATTGATTCACCTACATCTACTTTCTCTACATCTATAAAGATGATCATATATTTCAATTTTTTTTTCTTTTTAGTTTTTTAATATGATGACTTACATTGAATAGGTATAAAAGGTTAAACCAACCTTGGTTTGTTGGGATTTATTATCATTTTAATACGTGGCAGATTAATTCTGCTAAAATTTGGCTTAGGAATTTTGCAACTACGTGTATGAAAGATATTGTTATGTAAGAGTCAAGAAGAAGTCAAGAATCGGATGCTTAACCAACTGAGCCACCCACGCTATCCTTTTTTAATATCTCTAGAATGTATATTAATGCAATCTCATTCCTGAAATTCTTAATTTTTTGTCCATTTTTTAGAATAAGTTTGGTTTAGAAGAAAAAGTTCATTTTTCTTCTTGCTGAAAATATGTTTTTTTTTCATTGAATTTGGTTGTTTTTTTTTTAAAGTCTATTACTTTTTTGTTTTATATTTTATTAACTTCTACTTCAACTGATTTTTTTTTCCTTTCTTGTGCTTAATTACATTTTCAATTTGTCCTTCTTTTTCTAGTTGAAGATGAAATCTCGCTTCATGGATTTCGGATCTTTTTTTCTTTTTAAATATAGGCGTGTCGTGCT